CATTGACAAGCTCCGAGCGCCTGTTGTATACGCCGTTGATCATACATTTCGTAGTATACGGCATCGTATATTTTCTGGGCAGCTCGCCCACGAGCGCGATCGTCTCATCGCTCATGTGTGTACGAGTATTTCGCCTGCGGCTCTCGCGCGAAATTCTTCTTCGTTGGCGCGGCGTTTTCCCTTAAAGACTAATTTTTTCTGAGGCGATTCCAGTCTAGTCCTCGGAGCCTAAGTGACTCGCCGTCCTCGCAGGGGTCGCTTAGGCGGCTCCCGTTGTAGGTATATTGTTCCCGTTGTGTACCCTTTTTTGGTGAACCTTTTTTTTGATAAGCACTCGGAGTGACCTCGACATTCTTTTTCTGACTTGGGCGAACGACGTGGGCGATCCTCCGTCTACTTCAGACAAGTCTCTTTCCTGTCCTCTCGGACCCAGTGTATGGGTGCGCGCCGCCTTTTCGCCCGACCGGCAGCGCCGCCTCGGTCCGGCCTCACCGCGCTCCCGCCCCGCGCGCCACCACCGCAGGCGGTTATGTTCCTCCTCATCTGCGGAACCAACAGGGTTCCGCACCAGGCGCCGAGCGGCCCGAGCCTGCACACGACCCGGCCCTCTGCTCTCCCATCGGGCCCGGCCCGGGCGCCTGCCGAGCGCCGCCTGCGCCACACTCGCTTACGCCACCACCCGCGCCTGCTCCGCGCACCCCTCGCTAGTCCTCTCACCGCGGCGCTCGCTCTCCTCCACTAGGCGGCGGCGGCGGCGGTGGCGGCGGACCGCCGCCGAGCGGCGGCGGCGGACGCAATCTCGAGGCGCTCATGAGCAACATGAGCGTCGGCGGCGGCGGCCGCCAAGGCTACGGCGACCGCGGCGGCGGCGGCTACGGCGACCGCGGCGGCGGCGGGTACGGCGACCGCGGCGGCGGCGGGTACGGCGACCGCGGCGGCGGCGGGTACGGAGACCGCGGCGGCGGCGGGTACGGCGACCGCGGCGGCGGCTACGGCGACCGCGGCGGTGACCGTGGCGACCGCGGCGGCGGCTACGGTGGCGGTTCGCGTCGCGACCTCAGCGGCTTCTACGGCGGAGGCGGCAGCAGAATCGCAGCGGTGCAGAGGTAGGAGCGGGCTGTTGCCGTGAAGCGTCTCGGAAGCTTCGCGTAGGCGGCGGCGGAGACCGGTGGTATGGGCTGGACGGCGGGGACAGCTTCGAGGCGCGGCGCTCCTCTCTTCCGCCCTCTCCCCCTCCTCTCCTCTCCTTCCCGCCGCGCTGATAAAGCTTCCGAAATCCTCCCCCCCCCCCACTTTCCTTGCCCGCCGCGCACTTTTCTACCGCCGCTTCCTCCGCCGGCCGCAGCTCTCCCCCC